CTCTGTCCCCCCCCCCCCCCACCTCTCCTCGGTGAACGTGTGGGAGTCGAGAGAGAGAGTGAGCTAATACCCCCAGTCTGATAGAGCGGTGGAAAAGGGGGCTGATAGAACGAGGAGGGAGGAGAGAGAGAGAGAGAGAGAGAGAGAGAGGGGTGGAGGGAGTCGGTGGGTAGAAAATGAAGGGGTGGGGGCACGAGAGGTGAGTATAAAAAGCCTCTCAGGGAGGAATTAGGAAATATTCCTCAGAAGATATTTGAAACTTCTCACTGCGTAATAATCTGTAACGGTAAGAAAAAACATCTCTTTACTCTGACAGCAGGTGGACTGAAGACGCAGCTCGTTTTCATCACTAACAGATGATACGAACACTTTGATACTAACATTTCATAATGCTTTCTGCACTGTATCAGAAGCCTTCAGTGTGTGTGTGTGTGTGTGTGTGTGTGTGTGTGTGTGTGTGTGTGTGTGTGTGTGTGTGTGTGTGTGTGTGTGTGTGTGTGTGTGTATGTAAAGATGTGGGCTCTATTCTGCTCGTGCCCAGCATCATTCCTGTGGCTTTTTCCACTGAGCGGGGCAAACTCTGGGAATATGAACCCACCAGGACCCCGACTAAGACTCAGACAGACATAAAACTCTGCAGACACTGTTGTCAGCACCACACACACACACACACACACACACACACACACACACACACACACACACACACACACACACACACACACACACACACATTCTTGTCTTTGGAAGCTTTTTGAGCCTTAAGGCCTGAGGTTGCTGTTTCTGTGCCCAATGTAGGTTTTGGTTACACCTGAAGCCAAGATTCACCTGAGGGGCTGATGTTGTGAGTGTATGTGTGTGTGTGTGTGTGTGCGTGTGTGTGCGTGTGTGTGTGTGTGTGTGTGTGTGTGTGTGTGTTTATGTATAATGAAAGCCGCTATTGATGGGGAAAAAAGGAGGGCTGCTGAAACAGAGTCCAAAAGTCCAGTCCAAATCCTACAAACAGAAGACGGGATGAAGGCTTCTCCGCAGCGCAGGCATGCAAATAAAGTGTGTGTGTGTGTGTGTGTGTGTGTGTGTGTGTGTGTGTGTGTGTGTGTGTGTGTGTGTGGACATCTGGCCTTGCTGTTTTCACAGGTGCCACACACCTTACTGTATGTCACTCGTGCATGTTACTGTGTGCACGTGTGACAGTGTTTGCATGCATTTGCAACATGTGTGTGTTAGACAGATAGACAGATAACACATTCTGTACTTTATAAAATCTTTTTCCTAATTTAAGCCCCCTGATAGAGTTTCATAACTTCTTACTTTTTGATTCTTCTATTGTGTTCTTTTTTTTTGTACACCAAAGCCAAAAGAAAAAATCCTCTACATGTAAACCTCTTGAGCAATAACCTGTCTGATGTAGAAACGTCTCTTTTAGATTCCTGTTCCAACATTAACTCGTCTCGGACTCTCTGGGGGGTCGGTCGGTTGGTCGGCTCTTGCAGCCACAGTAATTCTCTCATGGCTGTTCTTTCACACTGAGGTTTCAGATATGGAGCAGCGGTTGCGGGTTGGCCTTGTGCTGCACTGAAAAGACCTTTTGCACGCTTGTTTATCTCAGCGAGGATCTTCAGTCTTGTCTCATGAATATATAAAAACTTCTCCTGGGCGGAAACTCTGCAGCAACTTATAGATCATGCCTCTCTTTGGTCTTCGTATGCACTGAACCACACGGACAGATTTAGACACCTTCAGCCGTCTATCTCTGCTTGTGGTTCTTCCATGTTTGCCAACAGTGTCGCCACTTTCTCTCTTTTTCCTCTTGAGCTCTTACTGCAGAGCTGACAGGACTCACTGAAACACCTTTCTGCTCTCTTCCAGCAGACAGGCAGATAAACACGGCCCAGGATGAGGAGCCTTCTTCAGTTTGTGGCAGTGTGTGCCGCGGTCTCTCTCTGCGCCTGCTACGGTAAAAAAAAAACGCACCTCGACATCCTCACTTTTCAGCTGTCGTTCCTCTCATGTCAAACATCCGATTCACGCAGAGATTCATCATTTTATTATTAACTGATTCCATGTTTTTTCCCGTAGACTCTCACGAAAGCACAGAATCCATTGAAGGTGATTAAACGTTGTCTCATCATGGAAAAACATGCATGCTCTTCTAACATCATGCATCCAATCCCTTCTCTAACACGCCCCCCCCCTCACCTTTAACTTCACTTGATCAATTGCACGATGCTCGATTTAAAAAAGGGATTTCTTTTGTTTAGTAAAGTTTTGATTTTCCAGATGTGTTTGTGCCTCCAAACCGAGCCAACTCCTTCATCACGCCGTCGAGAGGCAGCGCACACGCACCCCCGAGAGGGAACAACTTCAACTATTACAACATGAGGAGGTGAAACACTCGACCGCAGACATGCACACAGAGCACATAACCCTGCTTTTTTTTTATCATGCACATATGTAAAACCTCAACAGGCGAGGAAATGCACACGTGCACACACACATTAAGGGATCATTAGAAAAACTTTAGACTATAAACTTTTACAGCTGCTGAGAGTCTGCAGCTGGACGTGAATGCACGATGATTGAAGAGTAAAAAAAAGCCACTGTCTGTTTCTGATTATGATCCTCTTCCCCTTTAACCGTCTCTGTCTGCATTTCCACGTCTGTGTGTGTTCTCGTCTGAACTCTGCAGGACGATAAAGTCCCCGGCAGAGAGGCGTGCAGAGACCTGCGAGGACTTCTCCCCCTGCCGCTTCTACGCTTACCACCACGGCTTCCAGCAGGCCTACCAGAGGTTCTTTGGCGCCCGACCTCAGCCCCAGCCCGCGAGACCGCCGGTGACTCGTCGCTACTAAACATCAGCTGTCTGTCAAACACACAGTCATCATTATTGTCATTCTTTCCACATGTCATAACTTGATGTTTCTGTGGCAAGAAACAGGTTTTTATATCAACGGAAGGCGTCCATCCTGGCTCAGGGGGTGCAGCCTTTTTTACTACAAACATGTAGAAGTTCATGTTCCATCCTTTGTGTATTCTCAGGATAACTTTTATCCACTATTATCACACCTTCAGAGCAGTAATGAGCTTTATTTTCTGTGTGTTTGCTCACTCTCCACTATCTCATATTATCCATTTATTTATCGGATTGTTTTCTTTGCTTTGAATGAATAAAATATCCCTTCATTGGGTTTGTCTTTATGCCGTCTGTGCTGTTTGTTTGCCACATGCATAGCAGATGTTAGAATCACAGTTATGGTCCGACACTCCAGGTGAAAGATGAACTGAGTCGAGTTTGTAGGAATAGAGTTAGAGGGGCGTACGAGTGAAATAAAGAAAAGGATCTTTCCTCCTCCTCCTTAAGATGCACCGTAGATATCCCTCCTCAGTGTCCCCTGTACTCAAGAACAAAAAGGATTCATCTTTTCAATGTGTTTGGTCAAAATCTGGTTTTCTTGAGTGTCAGTGTCCTCACACATACACACACACAGACACACACACACACACACACACACACACACACACACACACACACACACACACACACACACACACACACACACAGACACACACACACACACACACACACACACACACACACACACACACACACACATACACGCGTACCTTACTCTGAGGGGACTATCTCTCTATACAACAAGTGTGGACTTCTCTTTCTGGTCATTTTAAAAACACAAAAAAGTTTTTAACACTCACACACACACAAACAGGTCAGCACACACCATGTCAGAATCAATTGGTACTAAACGGACCGTCTGTTGGATGTTTGAATATTGATGCTGCCAACAGGCCGCATATGTGCACAATTTAAGACAGCCTGAGGTTGAATCCTTGGACTCTGTCCTCTAAGCGAGCCAAGGCCCCAGCTTTGACCCAGACGGTGAAATTACAGACCGTGTTATACACTCAGAACCGGTCCAGAATCTAAATATTCAGTTTTAAAAAGCAGCAAGAAGAGCCACAGAGAAACAGCTCCGTGGAGGACTTCCTTTAAATTATATTCTTATAAAGTGTCTGTGTTCATCAAAAATCAAAAAACCTAAATGCATGTTTAACTCGACTCCATGTAACGTTTTATTGGAAAACAACCCTCTCGTTTAGTTAGAAATATCTTCCAACATCCTCAAAGTGAAAGCTTCAAACACACTCTGCTTCTAAAAGTAGATTTTTTTATGGAGGAACGCCGGAGCCTTTAGATTGAAATCATGTCGCATAATGTGGGACGCTGGTTTCTGCTGTGTGCACTGAATGACCTGCAAGAGCTTTAAAAAATGTATGTGGGAAACTCTGACCTCTACTGGCTGCCTGTGGACACTAAGTCCCAGAGATGAACTTTAATTTTACCAAACAGGAAAGTGATTTAGATAAATGATGGATTGTTACAGAGTCTGTCAGAGGGGAGATCACTGGGGGAGATTCTGCAGCTATATCCCACATTTTATCACCTCTATTCACCTGTTTTTCTTCCATATTTAAATCTCCTTAAAAGGTGTCAAAGAGGAAACTGAGATGCACATGCATGTAAAGAAATCAGAATCTGGTGTTTTGAGAGCGGCTGTAGTGACCCAAACGAGGTGCAATGTTTTAAAATATGAGATCTTTGTCTGATTGTTCACACATGAAGAAAACTTTAAAGACAATCAAGAGGCCTTTACATGCGTCTGGTTTCTTGTCACCTTTGTTTTAAAACAAATGCTCACCTTTTTGCTGCCGACTCCACTCTCTCTCTCTCTCTCTCTGTGTTTGTGTGCATGTACATTTAAGCAAGCTGAAACATCAAATCTGTCTTTGTGGAGATCATTTTTTTTGTGGAGGTTTGCATTTCTGCGTCCCTGTGGGTGTGTGATACTTGATTCCCTAACCAATCACATCCCCATGTCGTAGTGAGGGCTGCATCTATTATTCTATTTATGTATATATGGACACGAGAAAGAAAGAAAAGGAGAGAGGATCGAGAAGCTGCTTCAGTCCCCGGTCGTACCTGCTGCTGCCTGATTCTGCAGACGCTGAAGAAAGAAATCTAAAGATGAAGACTTTGTCCGTCCTGGTTTTGTTGTCCCTCGCTGTCGTCTGTCTCACCTCAGGTAAAAAAATGCATTACTAAACTTTTAATTCAATCAACAGGGTTATATTTAAATATTTAAAGCATATTCTGCTGTAAAAACAAAGTTTAATAGCTACTTACATCTCAGAGAAAAACATCAACATACAATTATTTTCATATTTCTATCCTCACGTTTGACAGATGCCTCCCAGACTGCTGATGGAAACCTCGTTCAGGAGGGTAAGAAGAGACTTTAACTTTTTTTTTCATCAGTATCATCAGTGTTTAATTTAAATTGTACGTTCCTTTTTAGCCAGTTTGAATGAATTGAAACTCAATCTGATTTATCCTGCAGTTCGACCAGAAGTGTTTAGCTACAATCACTGATTGTTAGCTAAAGATTCCCTTTAAAGGTCGCATATCCTCCTCCTCCTCTTCAGTGTAAATAAGTCTCAGAGCTCCTCAAAACATGTGTGTGAAGTTTCTTGTTCTAAATCCACTCTGATCCTGTGTTTGATCATGTCTATAAACCCCTCTATTTCAGCCCTGCTCAGAACAGGCTGTTTCTGTGTCTGTACCTTTAAATGTAAATGTTGTTCATGATTGATTCAGTTTGCTGAATTTCTACAAAAAATTCTTTACAGTTGTGTGAATTATTCGTGATGTGCAGGTCCATTTGTGGAGAAGGAGGAGGCCTCTGAGGTAGTGAGACAGAAGAGAGCTGCAGGACAATTATCCCTGGCTCAGCTCGAGAGGTATTTAAAAAAAAAACTTCTACTTTCACATCACTGACAAGACACATCTTTATTTAAGCACTCACATACCAAATAAATGTATAACATGTTTCCTCTCTCTGACATGGTCCACCAAACCCCAAAGAGTGTCTGTTTTTAGTCATAATTAGATTCAACCGAGTCGTCTTCTGCACTCGTCTTTAATTGAAGTTGTCCCTTTATGCAGATGATATGCTTCTTTATATATCAGACACCAGTATTTGGACTATACTCTCTGTGTTTAGGAAAAAGTAGTGAATTCTTTAATCTCTTGTTGCACGCTGTCTGTCAGTTTGTTCAGACACATTACAAGAAAAAAGGCCCTGAAGTCGAGGAATCAGCTCGTGGCTGTGCACTCACTGTGCGAGTGTGTGCAGGCATACGACCAAAATATCAAACATGACAGACAATCATCCGACCGGTCTGGAGCAGCTGATCGGGCCGCGAGCGTCCGTTGGGTTTCAGTATACACCTAAGGCCTGATTTGCCCCCGCTGTTATCCCACTTTGGGAATTTCCTTTCACAAGACTTTTTAAAGCACTCATATGTTTCTGTTTTCCCAGGCAAAGGATTCTTAATAACAGATAAACAGGTTGCACAGAACATCATCATTATTCAGTACCATATTGTATCATAAACATCATTAAATGTCTGTGTGATTACGTCTCTGTCTCCCCTTCAGTCTGAGTGAAGTATGTGAGGCCAACCTGGCGTGTGAGGACATGATGGACACCCAGGGAATCATCGCCGCCTACACCGCCCACTACGGACCAATCCCCTATTAATACCAACCAAAACAACTGACCCCACATTAACAGCTGTATTTCTTCAGGGAATCAGCATCAGCACCTTTAAATCTGACCGGTTTCTTCTTAATTAAGCTATAAAGTCATTTAACAAACCAGCAAGTGAGAGGGGACTAAAGGGGGAAATATGTGTCCAGCATAACCTTACAGAAATGTTTCTTCATTTCCTTTCATCCTGTAGAGTAGTTTGAGATTAAATAAAGATGAATTAAACTCGCCTGTGCTGCTGCGTGTGCTCTCTCTCATAAAGTCTCACCTGTGTTTCTGGAACTGCTGTGACACCATGTGGCCAGTAGATGTCCTCTTTTTCAAAGTCAAAGTCAAAGTCAAAGGCAAAGTCATTTATGTTGTCAATGTTTTGCCAGGTCACACAGAAAAATCTCCAAACCCCGGTGCAAGCTGCAGTAGTGTAAAGAAGTCTAAAAATATAAAATACAGATATCCAAAAGATGATGTGCAAACAGATGTGCTGTTTGCACATCATCTTAGCTGTGCTTGAACTATATATATATATATATATATATATATATATCAGCAACTTAGTGAACAAGAAGGCACTCCAGTCTTTTTTTAAAGTCTTTGTCTTTTAAAGTGACGGATGCTGAACTGAATACTGACAGAGGTTTCCATCACGCTCAGCATAACATTGTGATTTTCTGTTCATACGACTTGAAAAGGCGTTGAAGGCTTCTGACACACAATGCAGCCAAACAAAAAGCATCTTTCAGTGGAGTCCATCTTCCCCAAATTTTTTTTAAAATGTGTCCTGTTAAGTATGAATCTGTTCCGCTCCCACAGCCGGGCTCTGTGTCAACTTGGCGTCGATGTTTACGATACGGGAGAATCAAGTCCAACAAGTTTGCCGTGTTTTCATCACAGATGATGAAACTATTTTGTTATTGTATTTATAGCCTGCTTTTCTTTGTGGTTCCTTCTAGCATGCAAGAGGACAATTGAACTAAAACGTGACTTGACCGATATGTGTGTAAGATTAAGAAGGAGAATAAACAAGAGTTTATTAGAGGCTGCAAGCACAACCCGTTTCATTAACATGCCTTAAGTACTCCTATTCCTCTGATGCTGATTTCACCCTCGCCCCCCTAAAACCCCCTCTGTGTTTCCTCACTTCTGTGTTTGTCTAAATACAAGAACCATGATTTCCATACAAACAGACACGAAGAGACGACTCCCCCACCCAGAGTCTCGACCCCTCTGGTTTCTTCACATCGCACCTGCAGCGGTTGACACAAGTCCATCGTCCTTCTTCCATTCATGTCCTGACAGCGATGACAGGAGTGTTTTGTTTTCAGCAGACTACTACACTTTTTATAGAGCTCATTAAAAGAGTCCTCCTCGTTGTCATCCTTCTTGTTGATGATTTGTGGCAACACGATCCTTTACATCCTTTGTACTTGTGACTCATAGGATTTAAACGCTGTGTTTACATTTGCCAATACAAGCAGACTCGCAGCGGTGCAAACCCACAAATTAAATCACACAAAGCAAAAGTGAATCATCTCCACATCATCATTTAGCTGACTAAAAACGTGCTCATATTTATTTTCTAAATACATAGGTGTAAGTCAGATCAAGCTCAGCGTATGTAAATGAAACTTTTCATCCCCAAAATGTTCTCATCACAAAGTTATTTGGGGGGGGGGGGGGGGGGGGGCAGGGGACTTAGAAGGGGCTCCAAACTGTTTTAGGGGAATGAAGGGTTAAGACCCTGAAAGCCCTTTGAAGCACAGTTTGCAATTAATCCTAAAAAGTATGTTTTTGACGGTCTGCTCAGCGACTTTGTGACGGAGACCAGCTAGCTGATTGGGCCTGATTCCAGTCTTGTCAGTAAGTGTAAACTAGATTTGGAAGTCATTCTTGATATAGCCTTTGACAGTGCAGGTAAGTCCACAGAAAAGTGAGAGGAGAGGCCCCAGCTCTTTGTGTCCCAAGCTAACCATATCCAAATATAATTTCTGGCCATTCCTGGGGCACTGAAGGCCTCTAACATCTGCCTGGTGAGTCCTGCTAGCTGCTTAGAAAAAGGGAAATCAAGTCATTGATGTAAACGTTGTGTAGAGACATCTATACTGTGAACACGCGTCTAAGAACAGCAGACTTGAGTTTTGTGTGTTGTATAAGTGAAGGGGCAATGAGGAAATGTTTGGAGTTTCCTCTGCTGTGGGTTTCCTCGGGAAATTCCACAAACAGACGTCAAATTAAAATTGTCTGCCGGTAATCTGCACTGGAATGTTTTTAATTATTTCCTGTTCAGAAGAGGAGGGCCGGCCTAAACCTCCTCCATCCAGTCTTCACTTGGTATTCCCCTTGAAGCTCACATTCCACCTGTACCTGTGGTAACTAACCCCCCATTGTTTAACAGCAGTACCAGCCCTGAGCAGGAAGCAGATTTTAAGATCTGTTGTCTGTGAAATTCTTGCAGGAAAAGGTTTCTATAATTAACCTGCAGACACGTCAATACTTCAATCCAACTGCTGGTTGAGCAACTCAACCTGCCAAAATAAAACTGTGTCAGGTTATATAGCATGAAATAGACTGATTCATATCTTTGTATATCTGTTGACACATCTCTTTGGTGTTACTTGGATCCTTTAATTCTGCAAACTATTTCAGGCAAAATTGTTTGCAGTTTTGGTTTACTCATTCCTCTCACTTGCACTTGTCCAATTGAATAAATATGAAAATCATTTTCATGGTATTTAAAACAAAATGTAGATTATTTTGACACCAAATGCCATGTCTGCAATGGTTGTGTAATTTATGTAATTTGTGTAATCTCCATTATCATTGACGCATTCATATTCTTTAAACATGATCTATGTACGTATTTGTTGATAGCAGTTTGTGTCTTAATTCTGTCCCAAAGTATTTTTTTTCTTTAACTTCCTCTAAGATGTAGAACCGCTTCAGGCTAAAGAAGCCTAAAAGGTCAATGACCTTAAATTTGCATCTGAGAGTTTTTAATTGCCGCACACTTCACTTTGGATTTCTGGTCTAACATGTTAATCCTGTTTCCCGCACGTCACCTGGAGGATATAAAACCTGCAGTCAGCCGTGCAGCAGGCACAGAGTCACCAGGATGGATCTGCTCACGTTTGAGAAGGAGAACCAGCATCGCATTCAGGCCGTGGAGAATTCCTTCGGCACTGCAGGGCGACCTTTGTCCAAACCGGGCCGGTTTCTGATGGGAGAGGGCCGGCTGATGAAGCAGGGTCGCAGGAAACCACAGCCTAAAGACTTCTACCTGTTCAATGACTTGTTGGTTTACGGCAGCATCATACTGAACGGACGATGGCACAAAAATCAGAAGATCATTCCTTTAGGTGAGACACAGACTCTCCTGAACACTTCATACTGTCACACTTTTCAAAATGCTTTAATAGAATAGAATAGAATGACTTTATTGATCCCAAACTGGGAAATTGTGGCGTTACAGCAGCATGTTATCAAAGCAAATAAAATAATATAAGAACAGATACGTAAATAAAATAAAAAAAAATAAGAATAGAAGGAGATTTATACATCAAGGATTTAACTTAACATTCCTACTGGTTTAGAAAGAAAATGAAAAATTAAATACAACATTTATTCAGGCATTATGGTAAAAAGGAAACTTCAAACTAAACTTTACAAAGTAAGACATGAAGGAACAGAATCATTTCTCATTTTAAAGGAGGAAAGACGAAGACATTAGGCTGATATGATCACATGTTTCTGATCGCATTAAAAAAAACCTCTGATCACATTACAGTCTTTTCAAAATCACTGATATTTTCTTCATATTCTGGGATTTAAAGTTGTATTAACTGCAGTTTGCTCGGTTCATTATGAATGTAAGATAGATATTGTTTTTTTTCCTGCATGTTTAACACTCTGACAAAATGTGTTTCAGAGGACATCCAGCTGGAGGACATGGAGGACGGTGTGACGATGACTAACCAATGGCTGCTCCGCACACCTTCCAAGTCCTTCTTTGTCTCCGCCTCCTCTTTCAAGGAGAAGCAGGCGTGGATGAATCACATCGAGGAGTGTCGTTTAAACCTCCTGCGGGAAAACAGACGCCAGCCCGGTTCGGTCTTCGCCAGCTCCTGGATCCCCGACCAGGCCACCTACAGGTGCATGCGCTGCTTGGGCGGTTTCACCGGCACCAAACGTCGACATCACTGCAGAAGCTGTGGCTTTGTGGTTTGCAACACCTGCTCCAAACAACGCGCCGTCATAAGTCACATCCATCCCACCAAGAAGCTGAGGGTGTGTCGCCTCTGCTACACAAACAACGAGAAAGAGGAGAGCGGCGTTCCCCGGCCGAGAGGAAACAGCATCTGTCAGAAGAGTTCAGAGGAGGACAGTGACAACGACGAGGAGGGAGTGAAGGGCGAGCAGAGCTTCACTCAGAGCAACTGGCTGGACTCCCGGTTAGGAACCTGGGGACGGATGAGCAGCTGCGATTTCCCCACATCCTGATGAACCGTTAACCACATAAAGACACAATGACTTTTATTCTATGTAAACAAGTAACGGCCCTTTGAACAGATTCAGATGCCTGACAGCCGTACCCGTTTGAGAGAAGAAGCATACAGTGTTACTTTACATCCATGTCATCAAGATGAAAGTTTATTTAGTTGGGCCTCCAGAGAGAGAACTACTGGATCCAGAGTCTCTTTAATGAGGAGCAACTCCTCACTGGCAGGTCTTATATGCACTATCAAAGCCCTGCAGATGATCTGAAACGCAGCAGCACGACTCGTCTTCAGCCTCCTCAAAAGAGCACATCCCTTTGCACCTTTAAGAAAAAGCTAAAGACCCAGCTCCGAGCAATTACAACCTTAATGATGATGATGATGATGATGATGATATTTATGTTTTGATGCTGATTATGACTGTACAGAACAGCTGCCTATTTTTAAATAAATAAAAAAATGTTTTAAAAAGTGCTCTGTCTCTGGTCACTTCCTGTCAACACCTCTGGTCACTTCCTGTCAGCACCTGTTTGTCCGGTCAGACTTAAAGCTGTTTGTTTGCTCTTCCTGATGTTGTCTCCTCCTCTTTAGATCCTCGCTCGTGTTCTTACTCTCTGATGTTTATCAATCTGAATAAAAGCGTCTCATAATTTATTTATTTTTTAAAGTTTTGTGGTGGACGACGCTTTGATCCCAGATGAACTATTTTTCCTTCGTTTCCTGTCAGAATCTTAAGGACGGTCGGTCGACGTTCTCCCTCAGAAGACAAAGATCAGACACACAATATTCTAATATTCGTCCATTTGGCAAGAATAAGCCACAGACTTTGAACTAAGGCTGGAGAGCAAAGTTAACCACGGTCTTATTCCTTGTGTGCTTAATAAAGCTGATTCTGATTCAAGCGTCTGTCTTTTTTTTTTAAACAGACCAACAGAACAGGAGAAAAACAACAACAACAAAAGAAAAAACAAACTAAAATGAATCCTCACCCCCCCAGAAACCAGACACACACACATAAACATTGTACATAGCCAGATATCTATCAAAAGAAGATAAATGATACATTGCATATAGCCAGACTTTCATAAAAGGTAAATAAATAATATAGAAATATATCACAGAAAGAAGGGAAAAAATGGTCCCATTATGCTATGTTGTCAGCCTCCATCTCTTCGACAAAGATCAAGAAAGGTTGTCAGATATTATGAAATTTCATAATAGACCCTCTGATAATGCATCTAATTTTCTCTAATTTAAGATGGTACATAACTTCTTTGATCCAATGACTATATGTCGGTGGGATAGAGTCTTTCCATTTAAACAGTATCAGTCTCCTGGCAAGGAGAGTACAAGCGTCTGTCTTTTCATAAAACATTTATTTTTTGATTTCATGAATATTTCCTTTCTAAAAAGAGGCTGAAATTACACAACCCTTCTTGTTATAGGTCTCTATGATCACACTAAGATGTGTTTTAGCCTGCTAAAGTTTTGGGGTGCCTGCGACCTACTGGGTGACCGAGAGGTTTTTTCTCAAAACATGCCCGAGGTCAAAACGAAGAAGAAGTGATCTCTTCTTGCCTAAAGGCTTATAAAACATTCCTCATGGGTGACTTTAATCCACTGTTTATAAAAACAAGGCCAGAGCTGTCCTCACCGTGGGTTTGTCATTTCTTTGAAGTGTCAGACTCGCTTGACTTCTTTCCCTCAGTATGAGGAAACGTGGCCTGTTTTTCTGAGTAGTCTTGCTCTTACTCACTACAGGTGAGTCATTTAGGAGTAAGAGATTAAGAGAAAATGTAGATGTTGTTTTTGGCTCGTCTATACATGATGCACATTCAACAGGACAGGAAACTTAGTGGTGCGCATGTCTTTATAAACCACACAAATCAAATCAAATCAAAGTCCGGAGAGGGGGCCTTTAGTTACTGTGGCCCTTCTCTCTGGAACAAACTGCTGACCTGAGGTCCATCACTACTGTGTCTACTTTCAAAGCCAAACTCAAAACCTATCTATTCTCAAGAGCATACAAATAATTACTCTTTGTGTATATGTGGGTATGTGTAAGTGTTTTGTTTTGTTTTGTTTTTGTTTTCGTACTGTTTTGTCCCTAATCTGATTTTTGTATCATATTTATGATGAGCCATGATAGAGACAGCTATCACCAAGGAGGTGCAGGAGGCCGAGAGCGCCTCAACCACGTTACAGAGTTCACCCAGGTAAGACGACACGGGGCGGGGGGGACAGAGTCTGCAGCAGCTGCTCGAAAAACATCCAAACATCCAAAACACAAACATTCCCAACAGCAACACATGAATCCAAAACAAACATCACCAACGTTCAATACATCAAATCCACCGCTGCTAATGTCCAGAACATGAGTCCCAATGTTGACAAAATCTGATGCTTGAATCCCGATGTTGCAACAATGAATCCAGATGTTGCAACAATGAATCCAGATGATGCAACAATGAATCCAGATGTTGCAACAATGAATCCAGATGTTGCCAATGTCAATGACAACTCCAAACATTGCCAACATCAAACGCATCATTTCCAGTTGCCAAAGTCCAACACATGAATCCCAAAACCGACCTCTCTGTTTTTGTTGCCGTGGTTTCAAACTCTGACATCACGACCACGCTGGGTTGACCGCGTCCACTTCTGTATCTGCAGCGTTTGGACGCTCTGTGGAGGGACGCCCGCTGGATTATGGACTGTCTGCAGTGCGTGCGGTCCAGGCAGTGGGTGGGGGCGGTGCCTCTGGGCCTGGTGATGGGAGGAGACCCGCCTGCTCGACCTGATGGCGAGGAGGAGGAGGACAGTTTGACTGCCAGACTGACGTGGCCTCATCGGACTCAGGCACAGAGAGCTGTTTCAGGTACGATGATGAGGGGGTAGAACAGCCGTTTATATGACTCACTGTTTACATTTCTACAATTCACTTATCAGACTCTTTTATCCAAAGCGACGTACATCAGAGAGTAAGAACAACACAAGCAAGGATCTAGAAAAAAGGGAACAATGTGAGTAAGAGCAAACGATCAGCTTTGAGTCTGATTGGACACACAGGTGCTGACAGGAAGTGACCAGAGGCAAAGCACAACATTGAGGGCAGTTCTTGAGAGCTCTAATCAGTATAGAAACCATCTTATAAGTCATCGTTATCAAACAAAAACCATCGTCATTACCATCATCATCATCAATAATATGGAGACCATCATCATTAAGTTAGTAGGTATTCATGAAAGAGCTGGGTCTTTAGCTTTTTCTTAAAGGTGCAGAGGACTCTGTTTTGTTTTTGAACAGAGAAAGTCTTCTTGGATTTGAACAAAAGCTGTTGAGTTTATATTTTTGTTCAGTGAATTCATTTCTTCTATTTCAGAGAGTTCAGTCAGCAGTACTCCCCCTAACGTCGTCACCACTGAGGTCTCCGCCCCCACAGGAATCACGGGGGTCCCTGAAGAGTCGGCGCTGGTGTTGGAGGGCGTTGCAAAGGGGGGGTATCCTGTAGACATCGGCGCTCAGTCCACCGTCGACCTGACGAGCATCGGGCAGTCCGAGTTAGGCTGCGCAAGTGCGTTGATCGAGTAGCTATTTTTTAATCTTCAATGTAAAGCACATTGAGCTTACCTGTAATGAAATGTGCTTTATAAATAAACTTCTATTCTATTCTATTCTATTCTCTGCTCTTTACTTGAATATGAATCACATTTGATTTATAAAAATTCAACTTAGTGCAGCTGCAAGAAATCCTCTCTGTGAAAACACAAAGACCATTTCACCTGCACTCCAACCCATCATCCAACCATCCTTTGTCTTGCTCTTAGTGGAAGCCGGGTATTGCTGGTAGCAGGCTAAGCAAGTCGACCTAGACCTCCCCGTCCTTACATTTTCCAGCTCCAACTGGAGGATTCTGAGGCGTTCCCTCCAGGCCAGATGGATACTCCCTCCAGCAAGCTCTGGGTCTACCCTGTGCTCTCCTCCTCCAGTTGGACGTGCCCAGATGACCTCCTAAGGGAAGCGACCAGGAGGCATCCTAATCAGATGCCAGAGCCACTTCAACTGACTCCATTTGAATGCAATGCAAAGTGTGGACCAGACACACCTGCAGAAGAACACCTGTGTGGTGGTCAGAAGTTAAGGCTATGAACATGGCGTGGACATGATGCTGATATTGAGCCGTTGCAAATGACCACATTTTAAATCATGTTTCTTTGCGCTGCAGGTAATGTGTAACATGTGTCCTATTGTACCGCATTGTGTATTGTACCCAAGCAGCAACCTCCGGTGTTGAAACATGAAGTCGATGCTGAAGTGTAAATCCTGCAGTTCCTGGAGTGTCCACTAGAGGCTGGCTGCAGAAGCACAGGAAGTCACATACACACCCATTCTAAAAAGCCTGTTTTTACAGCAGAGATGAACATGTTTACAGCCTGGTTCAAAAAACCAAATAGGTGTGATTAGCTCATGTCTGGATGGACACACACTGTACGGGGGGTGAATGTTTTGATGACTCATCAGTTTTGATTTGATGAAGGATAAGAGTTATTCACAATAAGGCGTGTAGCTGACCTGATTGACAGTTATCATGGATCTATTTGTATCACTTCCAGATCTGTATCATATCATTTCACAACATCTCTTTTTATATCTTGTTGTGTCATACATAACTGTGAGGTTACAAAACAAGTGATTGCCTTTGGTGTTGTTCTCAATAAAGATTTTGCCAAAACAAGGTGTGGTAAGAAAGATTAAAATGCAGATGTGTCTAAATAAAAGTGGACCTGCATCTATCGGCAGTTAATGTTCATGAAGTATTGGATCACTTTCAAGTACTATTAAAATCTGCTTTTGAAAGTTGTGAAACAATGACAAGCTTATTTTGTATCCACTAAGTTCCTGAAACACGTGTGTTACATCATTTTTCCTGGCTTTGAAAGGTTGTCAGTCTGACAGAAACGTCCTCATGGATCCTGCCGCCATTAAGAGAGATTTTCAAATTTTAACATGTAATATGAGACTCATTGTGGATCAATCTGCAGCTTCCTTTCACCTGCATCTTCTCTCAAACAGGTGGAACCATCACCTGCGGTCTCAAGCGACCACATCAGCATGCATATTCTGGAAGAAAGTTGCAGCCCAACCCTGCAGCCTCTGCCAGACACCTGTCACCCACCTGCAGATTTATGCAGAAAGACATCTTCCGAGTGTTTTCCAACAGCCTCTGCCAGGAACAAGAACAGCCTCGTTCACCTGAGAGAGCCGAGAGATAACGATAACCTGTTTGCTTCATCCAAATTTGTATGTAATGGTGATGTGTTCTTTTCCAAAATATGTCACTCTCTTTCTTGTTAGAGCTTCACTGTCACTGTCAGAGACTGCAAACAGTTTCCTAGAACAAATATGGCTTCT